CACACACACACACACACACATTTGTTATAAATCCTAACCTCTATGCCTATGGTTATAATCCCATTTGGGAATGAGTTGTCTTTGCTATTGTTAATGAGGCAGGATTAGTGTAGGGCGTATTTGGAGTCAATCTCTTTTGAAATATAAAAGAGGTTATATAAGCAAGCAGAGATGGGGGAAGAAAGATGCCAATCCACATGAAAATCGCCCAGGAACAGAAGCTCAGAAGCAACAAGGACTTTCTTTCAGAACCAACAGACAGAGAGAAAGACTTCCCCTAGAGCTGGCACCTTGAATTTGGACTTCTAGCCTACTGAACTGTGAGAGAATAAATTTCTGTTTGTCGAAGGCACCCACTTGTGATATTTCTGTTATAGCAGCACTGGAGAACTAAGACACTTTTTTTTTTTTTTTTTTTCCTGTTTTGGCCTTTTGCTTTGAACGTGATTTAATTTGTTTTCATTAAATACATGAGTAAGATTGTGGCATTTCAAACCTGCCTTTCTAGTTAGCACAGGCTTTCTGTTTTAACTAAGTACCTGTCTTAAAGAGTTTCTTGATCTGCTGACTCTATCATATTTGCTCACATTTTAATTAAAACAGCAGCCCAATATGTCTTTGCATGTATGTGTTTGTAATTGTTTTACTCAGACCTCACTCTTTTTAAATAATTAAAAAAATCAGCAAGTAAAATATATGACCTTAGAAAGCATATAGAAAGAAAATACTTGTTATAACTCTTTGAATTTGACAGAAGGCCCTATGTTCTCTTCTTACATCTTTCTTCTTTTTCACATTTCACTGATGTGTTTTCCATTCCATTATTTTATTACAGCATTTTCTTTAGTCAGTTTTCCTATAGTGTGAGAGCTAAACTGAGTACATAGGAAGTAGAAGAGTGCATATGGAGTGTCTACTATTTGCCATAAACTTGGCTTAGCATTTTATATGCTATATAAATGAATCTTTCCATCCTACTATGAGATAGATGCTTTAATTCCCATTTTACACACAAGGAATCTTTACAGACAAGGAAGCTCAGAGAAGTTAAATACACATTTTTTAAGAGGTAGAGGCAGGATGAACCAAAACTTATTTTCTACCATATGATGCTTAAAACATCTCTGGCACATGGTACTATGTAAGTATTAGCTATTATCATAATTATTGGTCTTTGCTAACTAAAGCACCTGACATGTATGATGCTCAGTAAATACTGAATGCAGGCATGAATGAAAAAGGAAAAAAAATATTTTGGCCTATAATTTTTCTAAGATACTCATTTTGTAAGTGGTTTTTAAATTAGTCTTTTTTATGTAAAGCTTAGAAAAATATGTATATAAACCATTACTAAATAAAATAAAGAATAATTTAAAATCATCTTAGATTGAGATACTTGAAAGAAACTATACTTTCTCTTTGATACATGTATAAACCATAGGAACTACAAATGTAGTTCATCTTTAAATTTCAGAATGTAAACAGTGTACAGAATTTGTCACTTTATTTCTATCCAATTTTCTTTTTTGTTAGATATAAATTAAAATTGTATTAAGAGGAGAAGAATGGTATGTTCTTGCTTTCTTGCATGGAATTACCTCTCCTATTAAATCATAGGGAGAAGAGAACTGTGTTTCTAACAGATTTATCAAGTTCATTTGATATGTCAGGCTACTGTTGTAAAGCACTTTACATATATGTTTAATTCTTCACCAGACCCCTAGACCATGTTGTTATTCTCCTTTTACCAGTGAGCAAACTGAGGCATACATAGTACAGTTAAGTAAATTGCTAAAGGTTATATAGCTATTGAAGAAGTAAGTCAGAATCTAAAATCAAGGTGTGGAAAATAATACAAGCATGCTGAAAATTTAAATGATCTACCATGTTGTTGTTGTTGTTATTTGCCGTCGAGTCGGCCCCAACTCATAGTGACCCCTCCTTGGGTTTCCAAGGCAGTATCACTACGGAAGTAGGAT